GAAGTCAGAGCCTCATCACTTCCCCAAAGCCCCATCTCTGAACACACTGGACTTTGAGGGCCTTTTCAGATCCAAACCACTCACCATTCCCCTCCTTCTGACACAAAATGCGGGAATTTACTTGATTTTGCTGCCACCCAGGATTACATGGCCATCAGTAACCTCCCCTTTGCAAAAAAACAATATGTGTTCTGCACAATCTTGGATCTTTCTCTTTTCTTTGGTCTCAAGGCATTGGGTCTGGTTCTTACACAGTGGATTGTTCTGAAATAACTGGTGAGATGGCCAGGAAATGGAAAAGGGAAAGAAAATATGCAAGGAGGAAATCTTGGGGACAGCCATCTATCTTTGTATGGGGAGGGGAGGCCTGTATGTTAAATTCTGGTAAGTAAGCAATGGCAGATCCCAAGATCAATGGATTTAGAGCACTGTGGTAAGAAAGGGTGGCATCTTACCACTACATTGGGGTGGTGTTTCTGTGAGCAGTTCCATTGGCTCCCAATGCCCACATAGCTGTGAGTGAAAGGATAATGAAATTAGAAGCACAGTTATAACGTGAAAGAGATCTTTATCTCTCTACCTTTCACTTAGCCTTTAACCTGGTTAAAAAAGTAGAAACTGAGATGCCAAGTTTGAAACCCTAGATTGCTACTCTGTGTGGCTGGGGAAAAGAACTGGAAGAGAAAACAGGTGCAAGCTATTATCTTTTATCTTGAGATCAGATGGGATGCAAAGAAATGAAATCCTTGGGAGAAGGGTAGTATGGAAGAGGCAGAGATTGAAATGATAGAGAATAAGGGATCTCTTGCCTATGAGCCTTGCCTTTTCTCTCCATCATTATTGCAATTTAAAGCAAAGGCACAAAATATTCAGATGCAGGAGGTGGATACTTTTGTTCAGGAAAGTACAACTATTCAGGATTATACTGCTGCAGAATTGCTACATGGTGCAAAAACTTTTAAACAACTGCCTTATGAGAATCTGAATGCCTGGATGGTATGACTCTGGGCCACAGAAAGAAATTGCATTTCTCTGGGGAAAGTGAAGCTGAGAAAATGAGTACTATTATCACTTACCCAGTCCTTAGGTGGCACCTAAATAATGACCGCCATAACCAAGGAAAGCATTCCCTTCTAGATTATATCATTTTAGGAATGAGAGCCGCATGGCCAAATGAACAGCATCTGTCAGGAGAAGGATCCCCAAGGAAAAGCATTGAGGAAGCCCAGGGTTTTCTGCATGAACTGAACATGCAATAAGCCATTTACACGCAGGTCCTTCAAGGACCTGACCAAACCATTTTAATAGCCAGAATGAAATAAAAACTTATACCTCCACCTTGAGAATGAAATAGCCCTTCTCCCTTTCTCCTAAACTCAACTGTCAGGATGTTTATGATGTTTACTGCTGACCAGGGAGAGACTGAATGTGGTAGGGACAGGGCTTTGTCACAAATCCTGATACAAAATAAGGACAGATAAAAATGAAAGAGAAAAAAGAATTAAGAAACTAGTTAAAATAACAACAACAACAACAACAAAAACCTGATGGGGCATGATTTGCTTTGTACCAGCATCCTCAGTGAAAAGCTAAATCACCTAATGCATCTCAGTATCCTTAGGGATGGAACTTATGCCTAAATAACAGTTCCATCCTTTCTCCTCTGCTCCCCCTACAGGGGAGGGTGAGGAATTTCTGTGCTCCTGTTTTGTAGGTTATTTAGGTGGACACACCCCTCACACCCCATGATGAGGGGCAGGGGTACAGTTGCACCACAATAAGGTCTATAGAGTATGTCCAGAGACTCACCCGGAACTCACTATTTACTGGTTCTTTATAAACAAAGGGAAGACAATTAATCCATATTTGATGCTTAGTTCTCTCATTCCTGAAAATATTCTAGGGATGGATATTCCACTAGGAAAGACTTATACCAGTCAAGATACTGGTAGTAAAGGTGGTATGGAGGAGGGAGACACCAAGGGACCTTGTCAGCCTTGCCACCTATAGTCAGGTAGTAAGTACCAAGCATTAGCTCTGTTAGACTCATGGCACCAAGTAGGGACTTGTAAAGGTAAATCTGTGCCATCCAATAAAGTAGAAATACAGATAGCAAGTAAACACATAGAAAGACGCTCCACATCATACAGCATCAGAGAAATGGGAATAAAACAATAAGATGCTACTACATACTGATTAGAACTGCCTAAATCCTGAACACTGATAACATACATTGTCATGCTGGCGTGGGCATGCAAAAACAGAAGCTCTCATTCAGTGTTGCTGAAAATGCAAAATGAAGCAGCCACTTTGGAAGATACTTCTGTACTTCATTTTACTATATGATCCAGCAATCACACTATTTGGTATTTACTCAAAGGTATTAGAAATTTACGTTCACAGAAAAGCCTGCATTTGAAGGCTTAAAACAAGCTTATTCATAATTGCCAAAACTTGGGAGCAACCAAGATGTCCTTCTGTAGATGAATATATAAATTCTGGTACATCCAGACAATGGAATATTATTCAGCCCTGAAAAGAAATGAGCTACCAAGCCATGAAAAGACATGGAAGAAACCTAAACATCTATTACTAAATGGAAAAAATGCAATCTGAAAAAAATACATACGGTGTAATTTCAATATGTGATACTCTGGAAAAGGCAAAACTATGAACACAGTAAAAATTTCTGTGGTTGCCTGAATTTGGGAAAGAGAGAAGGATGAATAAGTGAAGCACAGAGGACTTCTAGGGCAGTGAAAATACTCTGTATGATAGACACTACAATGATGGATACATGTTATTACACATGTTTAAATCCACTCAATTTATAGTCAAAGCAAACCTAATGCAAACTATGGATTTATGGTGATTATGTCAGTTGTAACAAATGGTCCACTCTGGTGGAAGGTACTTATTAAGTGAGGAGGTGAAGGCAGCAGGTATTTGGAAATTCTCTGTTCCTGCTAACCTTAAATTGCTTTTAGAAAAATAGTCTTTAAAAATTCTCTACAATTAAAACTGACCCAAACAACAAAAACTAGATGTCTTCAGTCTATCATCTGAGATCATACTCAGGGGTATGGTTGGCACTAACATTTGTATATGATTGAATTTTGCTGAAACTTTAATTTTGGGGGGAGACAAGGGAAATGAGATTTTTATCACAAAACTCAAGAAAGTCCCTCACCCAGCAAGGATCTTGTACACATGACAGTACACACCCCCTAACACCCAAACTAGGCTAGAATTTAAAGAGGAATTTTGGCAAATAGATGTAATATTTGATAAGCAGCAGCAAAGCCTACAAAGACAGAAATTAAAGAGCTCGAATTCAATGTTGCTGAAAATGCAAAATGAAGCAGCCACTTTGGAAGATACTTCTGTACTTCATTTTACTATATGATCCAGCAATCACACTATTTGGTATTTTTAAAAACCAGTTTTAGTAAACATTCCATCCATGAACTATGCCCCTCTTTTATTCATGCCAATACTGGGTTTGTGTTTAGGGGAAAGACAGGAAAGAAAGTATGGCTTGTTTTAATAAAGAAATAAGACTTTGTACAATACCAAGCTATTTTATCCTAAAGAAAATGGAAAATCAATCAAATACTTTTTTTTTATATTTTATACTGGATGCACAGAAATGAATGCACATGGTTTATTTTCTGTTCACCTACCTGGCTGGAGACATGAACACATAAGTCCAAAGTGTAATTTTTAATAAATTGTATCACTGTAGACCAACTTCTATATTTAGAAGTCAGCCAGCACTCCAGAAAGCAAAACATTCTATTACCAGGTTAAACTCTCTGTGTAGGCATAGAATGCACAACAGGAACTGGAGTAAATAGATAGGTCTCCTGAACAGGAACAGAAGACAGAACATGATATTCCAAAAGGTCAAATTATACTGTCTTACATTTGTATAGGATTCCGTGGCAAAATTAGCTTATTAATGGCATATTCTCAAAATGAAATAAGATCTTAATTATGGAACTTCTCTAAATCTTTCATAAGTGAAAGTGTATGTTCACTTCCAAGATGTGGATGATCTAGACATAGCACATATATTCCCAACTCTGTCAACTTCTTCCCCTTCCTTCCATGAGGGAGCTCACAACACTGTGTATGCTCTTTCAAAAATATGTTGGGAAATACCGATTAAAAAATATTTTATATATTATTCATTGAATTTCCCAAATACTCCCGTGAAGCAAGCACACCAAACATGGTTTCTAGTCCATAATTTTAAAAAATCAATTTTGAAAAAGATTTACTGAAAAATGGAAAAGTTTTTACTTGGAATCTGGAACCTGGAAACTAGGTTTTCACTGTGACAGACTTGTTTGTGACCTAACATTTGGGAAACTTTCTAAATTATTTTTTTTTTCTTATGGGATGTTTCTTTTCTATTTTTCTCTGTATTTGACTATGTATTGCCTAATTTATAGGCTTCATTTTTTGGAACATGGAGTTGACAACAAGATTAACTTACAGATGCAAAATATTTCTTTCTAAAGAATTACATGAATCTGGGTATAGTGGTGCATACCTGTAATCCCAGGACTTCAGAGGCTGAGGCAGGAGTATCAAAAGTCAAAGCCAGCCTCAGCAACTCAGTGAGACCCTCAGCAACTTAAAGAGACTCTTTCCTTTAAGCTAAAAACTAAAAAGGTCTGGGGATATGGCTTGGTGGTACAGTGCCTCTGGATTCAATCCCTAATATCAAAATAATAATAATAATAATTATTATTATTATTTCATGAAAATTCTTTATGCAAACAAATATGAAGATATATTTGAAGAAACATAATAAACAGATTAGATGAAAGAGAAGTATAAACTAACCTCTCAACACTACAAAAAGTACCCACATTTTGCATATTTTTTCCTCTAGAAAACTAATTGATTTCTTCTTGATTAAATAAAAACACAAGTTTTGAATTTTTTTCATTTTCCCACCCACATTTTGTGATGTTTTTCTCTGGTTCTCTCTTGTGATTATCTCCTCCCCACCTATGCTTGAACAACCAGAGAATACACTTTTAAGCTTGCTCTGTGAAGACAAATCGCTTTTTTCTGGACAAAAGGGAATGAAGGTAAGAAATATTTTATTCTTTTATTGCCATGCTCTGCAAAGTTGTGTATCACCCTGACTCCTTATTGGTGGCTACATAATTCATTTAACAAATATTCACTAAGTGTCTAGAGGGGCCAGGCATTGTGCTAAGGAACATTCAGCCTCATTCCAGGAACATATACATGTAAAGGAGTGATTTAACAGCATTAATTTCAAATACTAATATTTTAATACACTAGAAAGTCAAAACTCTTTAAACTTCTTTTTGGGAGGGGTGGGGTACCAGCAATTGAACTCAACCACTGAGCCACATCCCCAGCCCTATTTTGTATTTTACTTAAAGACAGGGTTTCACTGAGTTGCTTAGCACCTCAATTCTGCTGAGGCTGGCTTTGAACCTACAATCCTCCTGCCTCAGCCTCCCAAGACATTGGGATTATAGGCGTGTGCCACCGCATCTGGCAAAAAGTCTAAACTTTTGACAAAATAGTTCCAGATATCGACTTCAAAATATAGAAGTGAATATAAAGTTTTTAGAATTCTTTTTGAGAGCATGTGAAGAAAATCAAAGACCACAGTTCTAAAATGATTAAAAGTTTTCTACGGATTCTTAGAGAATATTTATTTTACTGAGGTGCTGGTTCTTTCTGCCATTTCTTTAGGTATACAGCCTATGAATCTTTCAATTTCTCCAATACCTCCGTCCCCTTTGAAGCTCTTCCTTATGCCAATGTTGTGGCTGCATGTAATCTGTGGTCTGTTCACTGTGTTTCTATAGCCATTCTGGCTTGCTCATTATTTCTGATTATCCAAAGAGATTATAAATACCTTAATGAATTTCAATCATTTTATGAGGTCCAGAAGTCTAGCAATTTCTTCACTTAAAGTAAGAAGTGCTTTGCATGTATTAATGAAAATCCTAATATTTTCACTAATTGAGGGGAAAGTGTTCTTGCCTAGGAAACTGGAATTGACAAAGTCAGGGAGACCGTATCTTGCAGAGAAAGACATTAGTATTAAATGTTTGGTTTTAAGTAGATTGTTGGTTGCAATGAGTGGCACAACAGTGGAGATGTCCTAAGGGTAGAATATGAGAAGGAGTGCCTATGAAATGTTAGATCTCAAGAGCTATATTAAGGAATGACCTCAAGACATAACAATATGACTGTCCTATTTTTTTTTTAATTTCTCCCACTGGACTAATCTTATTAGCACTGATCAGTTGTTCCTTTTTAAATCTCCCTCCTCGCTGTACCTTGTGCTTACCTTCCCTGCCAACTCCTCCAACTATCTGCCTGGACTTGTCCCTTCTTTCCTCTAAATGATTCACACAGACTTAAAACTCATTCTCAGAGTGAGGTCATCCACTTTGACAGTGAAAGAAAGATATTCATCTTCCTTTCCATTCCACTGACTTTGATTATGATACTTTTTAGGAATAAATCACAGAGTTGGTGAGTTGAAATTCCAACCCCCACTCCTATCTGCATTACCAATCTATCTTTTCAGATCCCAAAAGTTAATCTTTTAATAAAAAATATAAAATGCACGGAGAAGAGTTTTGCAAAACAATCCATACATAATCCTTCTCAATTAGTCAAACAATTAACCATTAGTAGCAAATGTAGTCTAACCTTTTGCTGGTAAGATATAATGAAGGGTATCTTATGCAATAGGATAGTATTTTGTATGATTTAATTAATTATTCAACAAATAGTTATTAAGTACCTAATACATGACAGAAATAATTTCTGATATTAGAGATTCACTAGTGAACAAAACAATGATATCTGCCATGGTGATTTTTTTATATGGACACAATACCTTTATTTTTTTTTTTAGAGAGAGAGAGAGAGAGAGAGAGAGAGAGAGAGAGAAAATTTCAATATTTTTTTTTTTTTTTTTTTTAGTTTTCGGGGGACACAACATCTTTGTATGTGGTGCTGAGGATCGAACCAGGGCCGCATGCTTGCCAGGCGAGTGCACTACCGCTTGAGCCACATCCCCAGCCCACAATACCTTTATTTTATTTGTTCATTTTTTATTTTTTATGTAGTGCTGAGGATTGAACCCAGTGACTCACATGTGCTAGGCAAGTGCTCTACTCCTGAAGCATGACCCCAGCCCTGCCATGTTGATTTTTATATAGTGGTAGGGTTTAAATTGGGAGTAGGAATCAAATGTATGAAATATGATATGTCAAGAACTATTCAATGTTTTGAACAACCAATAATAAAAATTAAAATAAATTGGGAGTAGGGCAAAGAACCTACAGAAAATATGCTGAATAAAATTCCATAATTTAAGGTCTGATATTGTAACACCTCCTGCTTTGCTTTTCTCATTAAGGATTGCTTTGGCTATTCTAGGTCTCTTATTTTTCCAAGTGAATTTCATGACAGTTCTGTGAAGACAGCTTTGGAATTTTGAGGAGAACTGCATTGAATCTGTACAGCACTTTTGATACGATGGGCATTTTTTTAAAAAAAAAAATAGTTATAGATGGACACAATACCTTTATTTAATTTATTTTTTTATGTGGTGCTGATGATAGAACCCAGTGCCTCACATATGCTAAGCAAGCGGTCTAACCACTAAGCTAATAATAGCTCATTATGGACATTTTGACAATATGAATTCTGCCTATCCAAGAACATGGGAGGTCTTTCCATCTCTTAAGATCTTCTTAAATTTCTTTCTTCAGTGTTCTGTAGTTTCCATTGTAGAAGTCCTTACCTTGGATATTGACACTAAATCAGGCATGAAGACCAATTTAATACAATAGAAGACACAGAGAAAAACCCACATAAATACAGTTATCTCATACTAGATAAAGGTGCCAAAAACATACATTGGACAAAAGATAGCCTCTTCAACAAATGGTGCTGGGAAATCTATATGCAGTAAAATGAAATTTAACCCCTATCTCTCACCCTGCACAAAACAACTCAAAGTGGATGAGAAGACCTAGGAATTAGACCAGAAACACTGAACCTACTAGAAGAAAATGTAGGCCAAACATGCCAACACATCAGCTCAGGAATTGACTTTCTTAAAGACTCCTCAAGAGTAAAAAGTCAAATAAAAAATTAATAAAGGGGAGAGTATCAAATTAAAAAGTTTATTTAAAGCAAAGGAAAAAATTAAATATATAAAGAAAGATTGATTGCCACCTGCACCTCTGATAAGGCCTTAATTTCTAGGATATAGAAAGAACTAAAAAAAAAAAAATTGACACCAAAAAAACCCTCCACAAAACAAACAAATAAACAAATGACCCGGTCCATAACGAGCAAAGGAACTAAATAGACACCTCTCTAAAGAAGAAATATAAGTCAACAAATATATGAAAAAATATTCAACATCTCTAGCAATTATAGAAATCCAAATTAAAACTACAATGAGATTTCATTCTCTCCAGTCAGAATAGCAATTATCAAGAATATAAATAACAATAAATGTTGGTGGGATGCGGGGAAAAGTATACACTCATACATTGCTGGTGGGACTGCAAATTGGTGTGGTCACTCTGAAATGTAGTATAGAAATTCCTCAAAAAACTTGGCATGGAACCACCATTTGACCTAGTTATCCCACTCTTCGTATGTATCCAGAGGATTTAAAATCAGCATACTATAGTGATGCAGTCACATCAATATTTATAGCAACTCAATTCACAATAGCTAAGCTATGGAGCCAATCTAGGTACTCTTCAATAGAGGAATGGATAAAGAAAATATGGCCTATATGCACAATGAAATATTGCTCAGCTATAAAGAAGAATGAATTTATGACATTTGCCAGCAAATGCATGGATCTGGAGGCTATCATGCTAAGTGAAATAAGCCAATCCCCCAAAAACAAAGATCAGATGTTTTCTCTGATATGTGAAAGCTAATCCACAATACGTGGGGGCACTGTGAGGGGAAGAATAGATATGTATTAGATTAGACAAGGGGGAATGGAGGGAAAAGCAGGGTTTTGTACATATATGAATACACACAGTGAATCTTTCCATCTTGTACATCCACAAGAAATTAATTTTAAAAAAGAACAACTATGGGTAGGTCAATGGCAGAAAGATCAAGAGAACGAAGGGAGCAGGGGGTGGGGAGAAGGAAGGGGAAGGAGAGGTACTGGGATCTGAATTAGAACAAGATATATTCCATGCTTGTATAATTATGTCAAAATGGATTCTATCATACATAACTAAAAAGAACCAACAAAAAATAAACAAAATTGTATAATAGGTTAGAAAATGATAAGTGCTATTGAAAAAAAAAAAAACCCAAAATGGAATAGAGTAATAGCAGTACCAGGAAAGGGGTGGGAGAGCAGGTCTGCATGGACCACAGCTTTATATAGAGTAACAGAATAGTGTTCACATATGTAGTAGTGAGATGTGAGCAAAAACTCAAGTGATGTTAGTTTGAACCTCAGCATCTGGATAATGAATTTAAAATCCTTCCTGAGAAGGTAACATATCTGACAATGGAAAAAAGGTTTAAATGATTTTTGGTTTTGATTTCATATGGAAGACATGATGAGTTTCCTATTTTTGATGAACACATCTTGAAACAATTGGCGGTTTTTATGACAAAGTATGAATTACCAAACCTGATATCTTACGTAAGTTAGCAAACACTAAAATGAATGATTTTATGGGCTATTAGATTAAAAAATTCAATATATAAATATGTTGCCAACATCCAACCAAAGGCATAACAGAGTGATAAAATTTAAGGACCCATGACAGCAAAGACTTTTGTTTCTTTGTTCATGTGTATGTACTGAACCTAGCTCAAGATAAGAACTTATTAAATACTAGTTTCAAGGATGAAGCCAAAAATTATTAGGGATAATGAGGTTAAGTAGCGACTTTCTATAATAAGTAACTTTCTATAATATGAAAAATGTTCAATCTCTTCATAAGCTCAAGAGCAAGAATTTGGCTTTCAATCTAACTAAATTCTTTAAGAAAACCACATCATAATGAAAATTATTTCATGTGTCTACTTACTGCCTCTGAATTGTTTGTATCTAATGTTTAGGAAAATAAGATAGGAGACAATGCTCAGGTATATTGTATTTTTCTCCTTGACTACAGTTAGCATTGACTCAGAAGATGAGTAAAAGGCCGAGATACAGCAAATTAGACCCTCAACATCTGGTAAGTCTTCTGCAATAAAACGTGGAAAGACATAGCTTTTAACTATGAAATCCCTTGTGTCTTGTGCACATGCATGCTAAATCTGGAGGGTTTTTTTTCTGCAAAGGAATCTGCCTCAGGAGATCACATGGAGATGGAGATTGGAAGAGAAGGGGCAGGTTTGGAATGATATCATTTACCAATTTTCAGATGTTCTTTGCCAAATGGGGAATATTTTTTAAATTTTTTTTTAGTTGTTGATGTAGCTTTATTTTTTATTTACTTATATGTGGTGCTGAGGATCGAACCCAATGCCTCACACATGCTAGACAAGTACTCTGCCACTGAGCCACAACCCTAGCCCCTAAAAATAATTTTTTAAAAGTTTCTTTTTGGTAACTGATTAGCAAGTGCTAAGCCACAAATCCACGAACTGGCATCTTAAGATTTATGTTTATCTTCTTTCTCATAAGAACAGACAACATTGTGAACAGAGAACACAAAATATAGTAGCATTAACCGAACCTGAAAATGTAAAATGAAAATTGTGTTACATTGGCTGCCCAAAAGCATGAAAATTTTTTTTAGAAATTCTGAGCCCCCAAAAAGCCTACATTATTTTTTCTATGTACAGAAGTCATGATTTGGTTTTCTGTATACATAAGCTCCTTTAGGGTAGAAACCATACCTTTTAAATTTATTGTATGTAACACAATAAATGGCTATTAAATAAAACAATAAATGAAGAAATACAATTTGTTTTGCTTTGTTGGCAATATTTGAAATAAAAATTATCTAATAAAATTGTGATTTAGAAATTAAGATCATCTTTCATAGTAAAAAGACAGTTATAAAAATAGTGTTCATCAATAATCTAAATTGTGTATACAACAGGATAGCTACATTGACAACATTTAGCAAACTACTCAGTTTTCTATATAAATAAATATATTACTATGTAAATAAAATTTTAAAAAGTTTTATCAAAAAATTCTGGTTTCAAAAGAAAAAAGAACTGTTATTATTGAGGAATTAAGTGACATGCCCATTAGCAAATGAATGCCTACATGGAGAGATAAAATGGACATTAATAAAATCAAGAAGATCTGATTCTTGGACATATCTTTCATACCTGATATACTGACAGTTATAAGCCCGATTCATGTAATTATCACAGCAGAAAGGAGGAATCTTTATGAAGACAAGGTCATTTGTAATATATAACAAATGGTCTCAGCATGTCCACTATGAACAAATGCTGAAACATGACCATTTAATGAATACTAATAACATTAAAACCTAGAATTAAATACATAAAAAGGGATAACTGATGCCTAATTTCAAGAAAGATACTACTCAGCCAGGAGTCTGATACTTGATCTCCCTTTTCAGTTCTTTTAAAGTGCTCTTAAATATCTATGCCCCAGGTAACTTTGCTTTATGAAAGTGAAGGAGGGAACTTTATAGCCCTCAAATGAGAATCAAAGAAGTACCTGTAGAATCGCAACCTCATTTCGAAGCTGGCTTTCTTGTTTTGTGGGAAATCTTAATTTGTCAATGATTTTAATAGCCACATCTCTTCCCGTTTTACGATGTTTTCCTTTAAAATAAAAATGAGAAACATTAGCATGTTATTAAATATCACCTCTACTAAAAAACACCCAAAGTTACAAGCACGTTTATAGAAGGGATAAAAATGTTTCACTGAATAAATTAACATTTCTGAAGTACTCTGACTTACATATCCATCAAGATTTCATTTCTTAGTTCCATTATTCAAAAATAAGTATGTGTGTTACAGTTGGCCACAGTTTAGAGCACACAAGAAGTGGGGCATGAAAAACTTTATATCAACTGTCTCACATTTTCTCATAAAAATCTATGATTTAAGAAATAGGATGTTGATCTACTTAACGCAGAAAATATTCAAAGCACCAGCAAAAATGCTCTTCTAAGAAAGTATAATTTTAAAGTCCTGATGTATGTCATAGGGAAAGCTTGAGAGTCTTGACTCTGTCATTCACTAACTGTGTGATCATCAGGAAATTACTTAATCTTTCTGAATTTCCTCATCTTCAATGGTAACACTGTTGAGAGGCTCAAAAGGAAGAAGACACATAAATGAGGAGCTCAGATAACAATGCACACCAAAAATCGTTAGTGATCATCACCATATGATTGGCCCTTTAAAGACATCAACCCCTTTAATTCTCACGACTAACATTTTAGGAGGGTGTCTCTGGGGTACCCCAAGCTCTGAATTTCTACACCACTAAAATACAGTAAGTACAGATAATAGGAGCATTAACTGGATCTGAAAATGTAAGATGAAAATGGAAAACAGATCTAATTACTTACAAGTTTTGGCTCCACACAGACAATTTGGAATTCTATTATTTCGTCATTTGTGGTAAGTTTACTGTTCCTTCATTCATCCTGCTCTCACCAATCTTTCTGACTCCTCCCAGACCTTCATTCCCATGTTGCCTTGTTTGCTCGATCTCTACTTCTCTACTTCTCTCTCTCACCCCCATCTCTCTGGCTCACTGCAGTCTCTACTTCCACTCAGCCTTTTCACTGTAGCCACTCTCCACTGGAGTCACATCTGTGTTACCAGTGGACATGACTCCCTTTGAAGACTTTCTCATCTCCATCCTCTGTGTGTATAGGTATCATGTTTTAGTATTCCTTGTGGAAGCCTCCCCAACTCTAGGTCTCCCTAGTGTTGGATGTTCCAAATTACCTGCTGGTCTCTCCTGCCTCACCCTCACACAGTGTGCAGTTAAGTATGTATTCCATGTGCTTTATCTACTGGGATATTTTTACAATTACTTATTACATTGGAACAATAATCAGTCTAATACTTGGTCTCCTCTCTTATACCATTACTTAATAACATAAAACACAACGGTTGCTGACTCATTGACAGGTTTTACATTTTTAAAAAAAATCATAGGAGTATTGTATAACAATAAAAAACTCTAGAAAAAATATAACTTTGTTTTTAAATGAAAATATGATATTTATAATGATGAGTAATAAATTATTTATTAAATTATTTAATAAATTATTATTTTATAATAAAATTGAGTGGGATATTTTGATTATTTCAGAGCACTCAACCTCACAGAAAAAATAATTTATTACTTACATTAAGAAACTGAAAGTTATGATATCATTTTATAGAGCAGGTAAAAATGATAATATTAAATGTTACCTAAATTTTTGAAAAATATGATTCAATTAACTAGACTCTTCAGCAGGAGTTAAAATAATAAATTCAACAAAAGGCTTGACAAATAAGAAAAAAGGTAAAAACTTAGTATTTCACTCCAAAAGTTTAAAAATTCAATTATTAATGAAATAGATACATTGGTAAAGATATCAGAAAGTTAAAGGATTTTTTATTTTTGCCTCGTGAAATAAACAGACCTTCCATAAAAGTCCTTACTAGAGATTCTGAAAGAAAATGGAAGTAATTTGTTTATAAACTACAACTTCTTTGTTTTTTCAACATTTTGTCTGAATAAATCCAACTGCTTCAGTAATGTGTACAAACTTTTTCAATATTTAAGCAAAAGCAGCTTTTCAGGAATAGAAACTTTCAAAACAGAAATATAGGGGCTGGGGTTGTGACTCAGTGGTAAAGTACTTGTCTACCATGTGTGAGGCACTGGGATCGATTCTCAGCATCTCATATAATAAATAAAGTAAAGCTCCATTGACAACTAAAATAAAAAAAAATTTTTAAAAACCCAGAAATATACTGGTTTGTAAACAATGACTATCTTAAGACAAAGTCTCTAAAAGGCAAAAGAGAAAGACTCTTATAAACACTTACATGTAGATCTTGTTTTATATGTCTTTCTTGGAAACATTACTTTTCTCAACACAGGTAGCTAAAATTTTAAGTTAATAAAAATACATAGTGAACTAACCTACCTCCATAAACAATTCCAAACTGTCCGGAACCCAGTACTTCATCAGGAAAAATCTGATACACTGTGCTGATGTCCTATAGGTACAAGTCCAGAGAAAAACAGACAAGAGGCAACAAATCATTAATCCTAGTAAATTGTGTAATTTTATTGAATATATTGTAAATATTAAATTTTTCAAAACTAAGTTAATTACTCATGCTAAATAAGATTTCAGTGATGATATTCAAAGCACATTAATTGATGTTATATTGCAATATTTTGAAAACTTATCTGGTCTTAGGTGATCAAGGTTTCTCATATTGAGACAAAATACATTTCAGTAGAGAGAAAAAGACCTAAATTATACAGCGTTCATTTACTGATTATCTGAAAAGGGATTTTTTATTTTTTATTATTTAGATGGCTATTTAGAAACTTGGTTAAATACCCATGTACCCCAATCACATTTCTGTGGAAATCCAGATCTACTCTTTCTCTACAATGGGGATGCTGCTTCTATGCCAGTCACTTGGAATCAGATGAACCTAAACTCGAAGGGGCTGAATCACCATGAGTGACCTGGAGACAATACAAAAGAATGACAGCCCACTATGAAGAAGCTAAGCTCTTCCAATTTTTTTTTTTTTTTTTTTTTACTATCATTTCTGGAGGTAACAAGCTCTAAAAGTCTACTCTTTCCTCTTTGAAATAATGACTGCTGAATAAAGCCCAGTTTTATCTAAGTTCTATACTCTGTGATTTGTTAACCATATTTATTAAAGCAATATATTTTAATTTATGGGTTCCTATTACAGTATATCCCACCATATTTTCTGCCTATTATCCACTTTTACATTCTTTATTCTTTCAATGAAAAAAAAAAGTGCTTTTGCATCATATCCTACCCTCTGTAAACCATATTCACTCTTATTCTTTTAGTTTTTCTCCCTAGGAAACAATTTTAAAAGTGGTCTCCATCCTGTGACTCCTTCAGAGCGTGCAGAGAGTGAGTTCAAAACTATCTGGATAAAACATTGATTCTATTCCAGAATTCTGAATCCAGCCTGTTCCATCCATTAGCAGAAGCATTTCCTTTAAAATTTAAAAGCCCGAAACAAAATGTTCCAGGGACAACAGTGACTGAACAGGAGTGACCCCACTGCTATCTGGAATTTCCAGGGGCTTTATGTTACCTATATTTCTCCAAGTCTTCTCTAGCTAAGCAAAAGCAGCAGGAACCTGAAGTCTTTGGACATTGCTCTTAGAAATGATGGACCAATAATTCATTTGACCTTTACCATGAAGTTGTTTGCTTTCTCTTTCATATATGCCAATCTAGTAAGGTGTGTAATGATATAGCAGTGATGAAAGGAGTTTTATGAAGGTTTTATTTTAAAAAATAATCTCAGTTTAGTGTAAAGTAAGGCTGTAAAGTGCTTTCTTTTGGTCCTAGGTATAGTAGACAAAATAGAGTGAGAGCTCTGAGTCACAAGAACTACGTAGTAAGACTTTATTACATTCAGGCTACTGGCTATAGTTTCAAAATATAACAAAGCATACATGATAGATACATTATATTTTATGTGCCTGGCCTATAATTTTTAAAAACTAAGTTGAAAGGATGGTGAACATAGTACAAGTGACTAAGGATCTAGAATGTAGACCCATAAAATCTGATTTACACAACTTCCCTGAGGTCTTCTTTGTTAGTACAAGTAAGTGTAAGAGCATTTGCAGACCTCATCATCTGACAGCACTTCTGGGTAGTAGGAATGAGAATAATGGCATACTTAAACAACTCATGCAAATCAAGAATTTATTTTGTCTATTTATTTTAATGTGCAACATCAGCCATTGAAAGCCCAGTCTAAAGAAGGGTAAACATGAAAAATCAGCCATCCCATTAATTGCCCAAGATGAAAAATAGGTCCCTGTCACTACATTAAAATATACATTACAGTGAAAATCACTAGATATAGAATGTTGTGTTTCCAAAATCTTATGGAAGAAAAATATTCCAATAGATATTTTATTTTCTAGAAAATACTAAAAGTTAAAATTATCCATAAAATCTATTTTGTGATGCTCTTATTTCCCAATAATCACATTATCAGGTTTTATATTGGTAGACATATACTCACCACATTCTCTTGAATCTGACAATTTGATACTGAAATGCTCACAGAAATGTCTTCTAGAAATGCATGTTAAAAAAAGAATATACAAGTCAGAGAGATAACAGCAAAACAAGTGAAAGCATGCTTTCAATCATCCTACAGGACTGGTTTTAAATAAATCATAACAATTAGATGTTTCTAGAGAATTTTCAATAAGAATACTTTTTACTTTTAAAATTATAAACTCTCTCTGTACTTGGTTTTCAAAAAATAAAATTTTGTCAGTTTAGAGCTGGGAGTTAGAAGGACTTGGGTTCAAACTCTGGCTTTGCTATTTAATATCTCTGATATGAGCTTAGACAACTTAATCTTTCTAAATTTCCTTACCTGCAAAATAGGTAGATTGATAACTTCATTAATGCTTATTTTAGGCATTAAACAAAGATCTTTATAAAAATTGCTTAACATCAAAATAAGTATATACATTTTCTTAATATGTTGGTTGTAGAAATAAATAAAAATTATAATAGTCAGCAAAGATTATACTATAATGTAAAAAACAGGTTAATTTCCAGGTTTTCTTTTGTTTTTCTTTATTTTTTAGAAAATGGACACAACACATTTATTTTATTTATTTATTATGTGCTGAGGATCAAACCCAGTGCCTCACACGTGGTAGGCAAGTACTCTACCACTGAGTTACCACCCCAGCCCTACAGGTTTTCTTATTGACAAACATTATGAAATTTAAAGTCACATTTTATACAGTTACTCCTCTAAAATTTTCATTTTAAAATTTATCCCAAATATTTAATTCTGGTTGCATTTTGGCAGAATTAACTTTATATTACTAAAGAATAGAGACTTCTTCCTGGGATAAGTTTACCAATAGTTACCAAATACTTTGCATATCAAGGGCCCTGTACAGGATACCATCTCAGGTAGATTTGAGAAATCAAATTTATTCACATTTGTGGCATTCTAGGTCAAGCTCAAACTGACTACATGCTTTCTTTTATGAGCAACAGCTCTAGATGTCTGTAAGTGCTTAGTATACAGGGTGTACATAAAAATATATATATACCAAATAGGACCTGGGGTTGTAGTTCATGGGCAGAGCGCTTGCCTAGCAACTGTGAGGTACTGAGTTCAATCCTCAGCACCATATAAAAATAAATAAATAAAACAAAGGTATTGTGTCCATTTAAAACTAAAAAAATTAAATATATAAAATAAAGATAATGATATATGATAATTTAATGAATAAAATATTTTGGTATGTGGAGTATCTTGTATTTAAAAGACCCTATATTCTCCAAGAAACTAAGTCTATCACAAATATTCTTTTTACATTCCATTATTTTTTTTTAATATTTATTTTTTAGTTTTATGTGTACACAGTATCTTTATTTTACATTTATGTGGTGCTGAGGATTGAACCCAGTGCATCAAGCATGCTAGGGGAGCATTCTACCACTTAGCCAAGACCCCAGACCACATTCCATTCTTGGGCAAGGCAGAACACATGTATACTGTGCTAGTTATAAAACCTGTGCACTTACTGTGTGAGTTGGTTCCTGAACCCACAGATGAGCCCTTGGAAATGACAGGCATGAGGGCATGCTGGATGGCTATCTCCCACATCCTGGCCACATCAGCACCAACACCACTGGTAAGGACACTATTATTCGGTGGGGGGCTGGAAGGATTGACTACATTTTCTCCCACATAATATATTACATTTGCTGTAGTAATTTCAAAACAATGAGGATTAGCCCCACTTGGAATTAATGCTGAAGATTTTGCAGGTTCCAGAGACAAAATTTCTGATAAAGGAATTTCCTGTGGAAGAAAGATTGAGTTAAATGTGGTTTATTAAAAGCACATAAAAATTTAAATAAATTCATTCTAGGACATGTGTGAAACAATATTCCAAGTAGCCATCATTTATACAACATAATTTTTTTTTCAAATGCAGAATGGGAAACCTTATCACCACTACTTTCTAGAAAACATAAGTGATTTTTATAGTGTTTTGTAGCAGGAATAAAAATGCTTAAGACTAACAATTTTGAATCTTCATCAAAATCCAAGACTTGGAACATGAATGATAATTTTTAAAACAGTGAGCTAAACTGACAACATTTTTGAAATGCATTTTGGATATTCATGGTCATTACCAAATTTTAACTATTCTTTAAAACAATGAAATTAAACATGATTTGATTCAATACATGTGACTACACATAGTAATATAACCAAGTGAATACTTTTAATGAGGAAAACCATAGCAACTGGTTTTTAAAGTAGTTGTTTTTAAGACCATTTAATGTTGAAAAATTAATTGCCACATTATTTATCAGAAAGTATGAGTGACTATAAAGATAATAACTTTTGAAACAACATTTTGAATGTAAGAATTAATGAGGTTTCATTTTTCTGTCAGAGCTGTGTAAACTGGCCATACTCTGGAGTCTGCATTCATGTAGAAGGAGCTATATATACTGTTTTCACTGTGAATTTCTTTTGGAGCTGTGTTTTACTGGGTAATATATTATGACACATCTGTAATCTTAAAAGAAAATTTCTGCTAAATATTTCTCTATAGGAAAGTATTCCTTATGCACATTGGCAAACTTGGAGAAATCATACAGTTTCTTAACTTTCAGTGATGGACTAGATAGGATGGACTCGGGAATTTACTTTTAGCTCATCTACTGTGACTACGAATTTTCTAGTAAAATTACATTACACAACTCTGTTAAAATATTCAATTAAGCTTTTCTACCTCCCCGTCTCTACCATCTCATGGGGCCAGAAATACTCTCTACGAAAATGTGAGAGTGACAGATGAATCAAAAGGTTACAGTCAGATTCTTAAGAAATTTGTAAACTACAGAGAAGAAAAAATATCTCCTATAGGAAGCCCAGAAACATTCATGTGTATTAGATGTATTTCATATTTCTGAAAATCTGTAGTCTCATGAGAAAGTAGGAATGGATACTAGACTACAATCAAAGGAAGAGCCACCTTACCTTGTGGTACCTGCTTCCTGTGTCATTTTGAAAGAGTGTAATACATTTGCTATCCAATCTCCAATAGTGCCGTTTCCGCTGAAATAGAAGTTAGAGTCAGGATCTTTAAAAAACTTTAACACCAACTGAAATTGATAAAAATAAGTGCATTTTCCAAGGGAAACACAAGATTTGATGGTGGGAAGTAAATGGGCTTTGGGCCAGGCAGGCTCACACTCACTTTGTCTCTAGAAATTAACTACTCAGCAAATGCTGTGAGGTAAGTTTCTGCATCTAGTCAAAGGGTTATGAGTAAAAGGGATAATGTGTAAATATGCACACATAGTATGTGCACAATAAATGACAAACATCATTTTAAAATTTACTTGCCTGCTTGAAGAGCTAAAGGCTTAAAAGGAGGGATAATAATTATACATGCTCATTATTTTAGAACAAAAGAAATATCATGTTGATCCAGCCAC